CTGGAAAGAAAAAGTGAACCTAGGATGTCAGAACTTTTTTCGCACATCAAACTACGTCTTACGTATACCAACACCATTGTTTAAGAGAAACAGGCCATCCTTTCCTGTAGTGTTAACAATTTTACGTTAAATGCCTTTGATTGTTCTGAGCGTTTACCTTTAAGTAAGAAAATAATCGAGCTGCAGATATATCAGTCGCGCCAGCATGTCTGCTTTTGAGTGAATTACCTGCCAAAAATATAATAGGTAGCAGGTGACTACTTACGTTTTACGACTTTTTTCATATTAATTTTCGATTTGCCACTTAAATTTAAATGCATTTTATAGAAGATATGACAAAACACTGACTTATTTTCGTATTAATCTGGTAGCACACTACGTCTCCTTTGACTGTTGCGTATGAAAAAAAAGTCGGTTCAATATTTTACCCCTCTGTAAATGCTCTCGTTGCTTTTCACTCCACAGATGGGCTATGCGATGCCGGAACAAACTGGTGTCGGCCTTCATCTTCGGCTCTATAGTCGTGCATTTATCGTCCAGACTAATCGCTCCAGCAGGCCAGTTGTGTTTGTCAACCTCGATGCTGGTATGTCCTCGCAGTTGCTGAAGACTCAGGTAAGTCACTCAGTCTACCTTTATCTCTCTCTCTCTCCCTCTAGGTCTTGCAACGGCTTAAATCCGAATATGGCAATATATTTGATCATGACAATGTTATGCTTTCTGCTACCCATACCCACTCTGGCCCCGCGGGCTTCTTCCAGTACACTCTTTTTGACATTACCAGCCGTGGGTTTGTCCGGCAGACACTGGAGGTCATGGTGAATGGCATTGTTCAGGTAGGTGCAATAAAACTTTTTCAATCTTACCGGCTAAACCCTTTTTTAGAGCATTCGCGCGGCCTATGCTTCGCTGACCCCCGGACGAATCCTCTATGCGGAAGGTCTGCTGAAAAATGCCAGTATAAACCGCAGCCCCGTAGCCTACCTGAACAATCCGCCGTCGGAGCGCTCAAGGTAAGACCGCAGGTTTAAAATACGCGTCAGAT